TATGTAAAGTACAAACACAGATCTGAGTACACATGACCATAAATACAAAGCCGCCTAATGTACAGACAATTTACAAGTTGTGGGCAAGTTCGGCTCAGAAACCACAGCACGCCAGTTGAATTCTGCAGTATTCTGGGGGAATGTTCGCACCAGACGGCCGCCCGTTCTCGAACGGAGTCGACCCCAGCGGTCTGGGAATCTGCGAGCCTGTGGAATCAGGCGTTTTGTTGAATCAGTGTGGAGCGCATCACGAGTGGGTGTTTTGTGTTTTTTTTATCACTTTGAGACGTCGCTTTGCCATTTTGTGTGTCATTTTGAGATCTACCTTTCTTTCGCACCGAAGTTCGCTGCCGAAATAAAGTTGGGTTAAGCAGAACGGCGTGACGCCAGACATTGCAGAGTGCATGAGTGCGCGGTTCGGTGAGCAAGAGTTGGAGGCGATGCTGCGGAGGCCGAGGCAGACCGAGTCTGTCCAGCAACGGAGGTCACAAATCTCATGAAAACCGCATTCGGCGTACCTCATGCCAGAGACAGTTTTATTACCTGCAGCACAGCCTGCAGCTGTACAGGCGCCGAGGAGTTCGCGCAAAGGTCATGTCACCAATGCTGGGACAAGTGTAAAGGCCCTTGTTGGACCGATTAGTGTCAACAGCGGTGTTACATGGGCGGCACATTATTGCGCAGCACAGCGGTGTTACATGGGCGGCACATTATTGCGCAGCACAGCGGTGTTACATGGGCGGCACATTATCGCGCAGCACAGCGGTGTTACATGGGCGGCACATTATTGCGCAGCACAGCGGTGTTACATGGGCGGCACATTATTGCGCAGCACAGCGGTGTTACATGGGCGGCACATTATTGCGCAGCACAGCGGTGTTACATGGGCGGCACATCATTGCGCAGCACAGCGGTGTTACATGGGCGGCACATTATTGCGCAGCACAGCGGTGCGCTGACGTTATACTCATAAACATTCGTGTGATGTTTGTTTACCTGTCTGCCAGATATGGACAACGATTAACTCATTGGCGTACCGACCGCCAGGTTCGGCGGATTCTAAACCCCAGCAAATTTTGGACAGATTGGACAATTTCGTGTTTTTGTCAAATTGACACCTAAACAAAAATGGACCGTCAGATTTAAGACATGCCTTCCGTCCACGGCCAGCGTGTTTCATCCTCCTTAAATATCAACACTCAACCACACAGCGAGCTCCAGTGGCGCAACGTGATTATCACCTGCATTTGTGAGAGGAGGTGGGGGGGGGGGGGGGGGGGGGCGCACAAACATTTGTACTGGTTATAGGTATTTCACGACGTAAATCACACAGCCGTTACCAGTCTGAGACTCTGATATTTGATGACCGCAACTTGTACCTGACACCAACTGTCCACGGGGCAAAGAGGGAACGACAACATCATCAACGCAAAATGGGATGACTCCACGGCAGAGATGAGTGGTGACGTCACTGCCTCAACACGAGCATGAATGACATGCGGCTGAGCAGTTTGTCCGTGACTCGCTGAAACTGTTCACAGCCGTCAGAACTCGTGTAATGTTCAGATGCACTGCCGTCTGGGAGATAAAACGCTGCCTGCCGAGCTGAGTGAGGCTCTGCTCTCCGAGGTTCTCGCGTAAGCGGGTTTAGCAACACATGGGTCATGGTGACCATGTTTTGCGCTGTCAGACGCATCAGTATGCATTAATGTTGACCACTTCGCTACTTAATATATAGCCAGCAAGCAATTGGACAAACGTACCAAGTTCAGGCATTCTATGTCACCCAACTTAACCTTGTTGTGGGGCAAACACAAATAGGAAATGCTGTGCAATTCAACCAGGGCCAATTCGATGATATTTGGGTTCAGGGGCGTTTGACCACAGCTATCATTTTGGACCCGTAACTGTGTTAAGTGATGATAACATGTCTAGCTTTTCCGCAGCGTAAGCACCAGGTGCCCGGTTTTCTCCTGCCGGAGGTAGGCTCCACAGAGTGCAAGTAACACAGTGCCAAGGACCAGGAGACGGATGAAAACGTGATTATAAACCGATGTCATTCATAAGCGTTTTTATAACCTGGACAACAACGATACGGTTCTCACCAATGAGGGAACGCAGAGATAGCCCGCGCCAGGCGCTGCAGATACCTTTACCTAGCAGGTACACCATTCCCCTTTTTCGCGTGCGTGTAGCTCAAGCTAGGTGGGCTTAAGTCTTAAGAAAAGGCAAGATTGAGAACAGCACCGAATGGTCTAAAGTGGATATTTCAGCTCAAAACCCCATAAAATGTGTAACACGCCACTGAAGCCGCTGCGTGCGGCCAGCGCCTCATGCGGAGAGCCACGTAGAGCACTCAGCCGCAGCTCGAGGCACGAGCCGCTAGATCCGTGTGGGGCCCCACGGACCCCCGCGCCCCCGGATATCTTGGCCAAATTCGGGGTAGTGGGGCGCGCCATGACTGACACGGACGACACCCCCCTCAGTAGTGCCACGAGGATCCAATCCACCCGGAGTTGCGCGCGAGGGGGCACGGTGACCCCAATAAAATAAGCATGAGGAGGGATGAGAGGGTCAGATGTGGGAATGGGAGTAATGGGAGAGTAGCGGACGGGACCAGGAGCTGGAGCTCACGTACCGGCAAGGTCGCTTTACATTTGAATGAACAGCTTGCGCTGTTCACCCTTTACTGGAGCTGGGATCCGAGGAGACGTTAGCCCCTTACACCGGCCGAAGCCAGTGCCGCTAAGGGGTGATGTTCATTTTCACAGTACGTCCATCATAAAGCTATCAGTTGGTGTCATTGATTATATTGTAATCCAATGATAATGACGGGATGTAATTTAAAGGATGATGCATTATCCGCATCTCATCTCGAGTAAGACATCGACCTTGACCCCGTTCCTTGACCCCGGATCTCCGACATCGTCACAGGCTTCTTGCTAAGATTACCCATTCAATCAGACGTTCTTGCTGCATCCCACTATCTCAACCCAATAAGGGGATATACAGAGCTAACACTCCCATCACCACCTGCATGTGTTTTGGGAAGCCCAAACCGACGTTCATATGGAAAGTACCTTTTCTTTTTATCTTGTTAAATGCGGATTTTAAGTTGGCTCGCATTACAAAGACAACTTCCCATTCGCCAGACAAGGTAGGCGATGTTATAAAAGGCGCGAGGACAAAAACTAGGAAAATGTAACCTATGGAATTACCACCAACTCCTTGCGACACAATGAGCTTACTCAAATGTTCAGTAATATATATCCTTGAGTCCCTCGCCCACATATTTTGGACGAGTGAAAACAGACCTTTAACGTGACCTGTCAAAAACGTTCCGAGGTCTTAACTCAGCAACCTTGCGCGGAGACCCGTAATATTTTCAGAGACCTCTTCGTCGTCCAAGGCCGCACTACAGCTGATTTTCAGACTTTTCCACGGGCTTCTCAGTAGATGGGGGTGTAATGCGTTGGCTGGGTTATCGTGAAACATATTTATAAATCCCACTGAGTGCCAATAGTGTTTGAGGTTTGGTATCTGGCGAGTTCCTGGTAAGCGCAATGCTGACTTTGGTTTAGTCTCTTAGTCTAAGTAGCTAGGTGGGCGCGGTGGGACCGAAGCATAAAGCGCGGAAAACTTCAGATGGTTTATAAAGACATAACACTCGCCAGCTGTGGTCCTCGTATCAGCTCCGCAACTTCGGTATCACACCGCTGACTCCATCTCGTGAGAGCCTTTAAAGACGCCCTTTCACGTACATCCCCGTGGTGTGAGGTTATTGTGAACGGGCGACAGATAAGTCAACACGCACGTCATATGTAGTCCAGAGTGATCAGATGTAGGAGACGTTTGCACCCGGTACGGGCATCGCATTTGCTTATGATGTGAGTTAAGCTGTGGTGAGCATCGCAGACGTTCATTCAACAGACCTGCGCAAACGCAAATACTCCCATTGCAGATATTTGGAAGCATGAAGCAGAATGAGAAACTAAGCCAGTGATGACGCAGACGGGTTGGAGAAGGAGGCTTTGGACAAAACCAGCGGAGTGTCGATGCAGCTGTTCGATTCAGTTTGATTCATGCTGTAACTTAACTAATACCAACCCAGTCTGTAGAAGTAAAGAACATATTGTCCATTATTGTTCGACATCGACAAATGCCCACGTGATAACACAAATCAGATTGTCATCAGCGCTGCAAATTATAGGCGGCGGTGACTGCAGCACCCGCTGCAGAATTCGCGATGTAACAACAGCTCACACTTGTGCATGATACTTTGCGGGCCACATGCTGTGATATACTGGCAGGGGATCCGACCGCTTCGGCCACGCTTGCTAATGAAATGTGGGTGACACCTGCGCCCAGGTCTCCCTGAGTATAAAAGGAGGCCTGAGTCGGCCTCCGAAAGCGAGCAGGCACGTAAGTAGGGCGCGATGTTCCGTCTGGTCATCTCCTGCCTGGTGCTCGGCACCTCATTGGCCAAACTTATCACTGAAGAGGCGGCTCTACGTTCGGCCTCCTCCCCTCCAAGCTCATCTCTGGAGCAGCGACCTTCCACACCAAAGCCAAAACCTCGTGAAATCGATCTGCTGCCAGCCTTTGACGTCGAACGCGATCGGCGGACACAAGTCCTCGCGCCAGGATATTACCGTTTCGCTACCCCACGGTTTCCCTTCCTTTACTTCAACCGCGTGCGCCGCCAAACCACTTTAAGTGGACAGAATGGGCAGACCATCTCCATCAGCTGTCCCTTGTTCTTCGCTGCGCCGAGCAGACGTTGTAGGAGAGGATACTTGTCCATCAACGGCGTTAAGTTTTGCAGATGGCGAAGGATCCGCAAGATTGAAGCCACCACCTTGAACCTCATTCTCAGGACCAACCGGCGAAACATGTTAATCGGCTTCGTTTGCTTTATTTTTGTTCCGAAGAGTCCAGGTACCACCACTGCTGCCACTTCCACCGCTGCCACCACCACCGCTGCCACCACCACCGCTGCCACCATCACCGCTGCCACCACCACCGTTGCCACTACCAACGCTACCACTACCAACGCTGACACTACGACAGTCACCACACCGGATACCCGATGCTGCGGCAGACCCAACAGAGCTACACGCATTGTCGGTGGCATGGAGACCGAGGTCAACGAGTACCCGTGGCAAGCTTTTGTGCTCGTCCGAGCCAACGGCGCTTCTTCCGGGTGCGGAGGCACCGTCATCAACGATCGTTACGTGTTGTCGGCGGGTCACTGCTTCAGCCGCTCCACCTCCCCGGCTCAGATCGAGGTGCGGCTCCGTAGGCACAGGATCGACGTCCCGGAAGATGACCTTCCCGTCACCATCTCGGAGCTTACCATTCACCCCAACTTCCGGACCGTCAGAGCCGGTTTCGATTTTGCACTACTGAAGCTGTCCACGCCACTGAACTTCCCGACCCTAAACAACCTCGTGGCCCCCGCCTGCCTTCCAAGCGGCGGTGACTTCGCTAACGTCGACGCCGTGGTCAGCGGCTGGGGTGCCACTTCCGAGAACGGCCCGGTGGCCTCAGCTCTCCGTGAAGTCACTGTCCGCACCCAGACAAACGCCGTGTGTCTCCGTGCGTATAGGTCAATAACCTCGACTATGATCTGCGCGGGTGTCGACGGCGGCGGCAAGGACTCGTGCCAGGGCGACAGTGGCGGCCCGCTGGTTACGCCAGTGGGTGGTCGATACACGCTCATCGGTGTCGTCTCCTGGGGAACCGGCTGCGCCCGGCCCGACTTTCCGGGAGTCTACGCTCGCGTGACGTCCGTGCTCAACTGGATCGAGACCAACACGGAAGACGCCAACCTCTGCTAGACGTTGCAGGGGCGGCATCCCTGCAACTCTGGGGTTGCAGGTGGCCGCGCACCGCCTGCAGTCCATTTGACCACCGATGTGTCTCCTCAAGTCGTCATGATAACCGCAAGTCCGACGCCGAAGGCTGGCATGGACAGCGCCGTGAAGACACCAGTTCGCAATTTGGGCGCACGATTACAACGTTCGCTTTGCTTTGGCCCTTCGCGCTGCTACAGCGGGATCTGGAACATGTCGGCCGTAGTTCGCAGAACCTCCGCAAAAGGAAGGTTAGAGTTTTGTGCCCAAACTGCGAACTGGTGTTACCTCCAAGGCAGTGTCTGGAAAATTAAATGGCTGTTGCTTGGTCGAAAACTCACCCGACACCACCATTTTGGTTGTTGTGATGTTTGTTCCGACCAAGCCAAACATGATGTTTGTCGCGAAACGCCTGCGCAGTGTGCTGTGCGATGCACCACATATGTCTCTTTTTCTGATCTGTACGATTCTGGGCGTCATAATCACTTGATTTGGGCATACAGCGATATCAATAAAAGCGTCTGTCAGTTGTTTTTTGTGCACCGACATCACACAAGTGCATGCTTTTGTAGAATATTTGAGGCATGGTGTCAGCACAGATGTGCTAAACTTTCATGGTGTTTTCTTTGCCCGTGACGCTTATTTGCATACCATGCTCTCGCCAGTTATCTATCCCGCCGTCGCCTCACGTTAGCTGGGTCTGGAAAAAGCCCCAAGTTGAACATTGCTCTTCGCATCTCGTCCTTGAACTTTTGAGACTGTTAGTGTCAGAGACTGTCACCATTGCCTCCCCTTTTCCGTGGTATTCAAGATGCGACATGAAATTCATTGACATCATATGCACCATCAGAAGATCTTTCATGGTTGAAAGCAAAGAGATACTGAAGTTTTACATCTAGAAACTAAGAAAATAAAAGAAGAAGGGAACTACCATACCAACAGCCACATCCTTCGGAGTGGCACTGAATTTGTGACTAACAACTTCGACACATGATGTGACGTAATATGACTCCACCTGACATGAACATAATGCAAAATCAAGATGGAGCCCCTTAAGTGGTCGTGTTTGAGTGAGCAACGCTATCAGGCAAACAGCACGTATACCATTTTCGTGCAATGTGCTTTGGAATCACTAGAGTGCGACGGAAGGATCGCAACAACGTTGATAAGTAACAGCTGAAATGCGATGAATCTGGCGCTGGCAGCGGCAGCCAGAACGGCTTTCTTAAAGCGTTTGGAATGTGCAACAAAACCCCAAATGCGATGGACATCTGACATTTTGAGAGCGGCATCTGCAAGCTGAAGTATGCTCATTACAGATGTAAGCCTTCGATGGTTTCACGCGGTTCGTGTGTGGCTCTGCCGCCTGCGGTCCACTTGCTTGGTCGCAAAGGATGCTGTGTACGATATGCGAACGTTTGACCCAGCATTCTAGGAACGGTATGCCCATGACATTGTGCGGTTACAATTTTGAATGATTAGCATGGTCTCTTTAGTGTACATATTAATCCGCTTACAGCACATGTCTATGAACGCGCGAGACTGGTGACGAGCGGCCGCTGCTCTATTTTGGTTAAAGTGATTATACCTCACTCTGTAATGTCAGGAAGGATAGCATGGTGGACCAGCTTGACTGCAGGACCGCTTTACGCTCGGCTTTAGTGGCATTAGTGAGGATGTAATTTAAATTTTACCATGGTGTTCCCTCGCAAAGCGACGAAGACCTTGTTTTTAACATATGTTTTTTAAGGTATACCAGTTATACGATAAATAGAGCAAAGTTGGTTTAACCACAACGGTGATCATATCAGTTGGGTTGTCGTTATTGCGTGACGTTATTATGGCGTTGCAGATCCCCGGATGACATTGAAATATTCCGTACGAAAGTCTGCACATCTCCGCGGGCATGTATCTCAGAAACCAGAGGGATTAAGTCTTAAAGAAGGGCAGGGCTGCGAGGCGCACCGCATGATCTTGGCGTTCTCTTTCAGTCAAAAACTGCATACTGTGGAACACTCCCTTCAATGTCTGCCACGGGAATCCCTGGCTGTTTGCCGCAAGGCGGGGTGTAGGCTGCAAAGCAGCACTCTCGTTAGACATGTTGGACCCGGCTTGTGCTGGTTCGGTGGTCATTGTTGGACTTAACCACCATCGGTTTAGACTGCTACTGTCGCTCGTCAAGTTTTGGAACTGATTCATCAATATTCAAGTCAAAGTGAAGGTCGGCACATTTCAAGGGTTCTTCTGAATGTATACGGCTTACAACTTGGTCACGTTTATGGGTGGAAACATTCGACCGGTTGTTTTTACTTTCCGATGAGACATGACAAAATGGCGCAAGTTTCTGCAGTCTGCAGAATTCGAAACATCGATGAATACCGCCAAAATACTCAGACAATGACACGAAACTAGACTAGAGCCAACAAGATGTCAATCATGTAGTTAAACAAAAATGCAGCGTGCAGGAAAACCAACGAAATGTTGAAGTGTTTAAGGTACGAGCGGGCAGCTTTAAAAGTGTGACTGGCTCAGCCAGCTGCACCCAGCTGGTCATGGCATCTCGGTTTTCATTTTGTGTTTCTTTAGCACGCGCTCGGGTGGGTTCAAATTAACTCTCCCCCCCCCCCCCCGAAGGTTTTTACAGAATGGTTTCCGGACGGCGCGGTGTAGCCGCGCCAAATTTTATACAGCTGTAGACAATTGAGTATCGGATCGTTTGGTGCCAACAATTTAAATGCACCTTGTAAGGTCGCTGACCTATACCAGGTCAAAGTCAGGCCATGGACTCAGCGAAGTCAATTTCTAGGGAATCGTTCAATCCGATGGAACAAAGGAGTCTTAGATGAAGCTATGCATCTCTGAGATCATGGGTGTAGGAGCAGGGGGGTGCAGGGGGCCCATGACCCCCCCCCACTTTTCAAGGTGGGCGCAGCAGTGTTAACTGCCCGTCCCCCACTTTTCAGATTAAGTTTGTGTTTAGCTTACTTTTGTTCTACATAAAACGTACATGCCAATTTATCTAGTTCACCGGCCATCTTCCCCAAGATGCGTCATCTTTTTGTTTGCTTATTGGCGATCACTTAGTATCACAGCCACAGGACCAACGCCGCGCGGCCTACGGAGACTGCAACGCCAGGTGTCGGGGCTGTCGTTGCTCTGACTTGCGAGCGCGCATGTTCAAAACCATATTACATACTTTTTTATCAGTCATCAATTGTGACTGAATCTTGAACGTCCTAAGACGAGCATGGATTAGCCATGCTCATACAAATTTGGGACCCCATTCCATCTACAATCCACGATCAGGGAATCCTTAATATCTCTGATGAACACATGACAATATGGAACTAGAATCGATGTGACAATCACTGGACCAACTGTGGCGATAACGACTGTTGTTGCGTCAATGAGGGTTCCTGTGCTGATCTGGGGCCAAGTACGAGGGTAAGAAGGCCTCCCTTGTCAGGGAGGCCTTCTGATCTGATGTATCCTTTTAAAGGCCTGCGGATCGACCCGGAGATCCCACCCCGCGTCACCAGAATGACAGCCAGAAGACACTTCACGATGGAACGAAATGGCTTTCAGCCCCTGACCGGAAACGGTTATTTGCCGCTGGTGATCTATTCAGGGGGCCTCTTGCCCAGAAGGAAACAATAAGTCTCAATATTGTTGAATAGAGGGGGGGAGGGGGTCATTATTGTTGAATAGATAAAGTCGAAATGAGTAAAAAAAAATGAGCTGCCTGAGCACGTTCGTTTTTCAGAATGGATTGGTGAAACAAATAATATCAATATGTTTGAACATGCCCGCCCACGTCTTTGAGAGTAAGGACAGCGACGGCCTGGGTTGCAGCTTCCGTAAAACCGAATGGCGTCAGCCACTGCAAGCGCCATCGGACGGCGAGCGCCGTGAGAGTCAATTTTCACCCCCAAATTTCGTTCAAACATATCGCTCTACAATCTACCCTCGCGATGTTCTCAAGGTCTGTAAACGCAGATAAAACATGACGAAAAAACTTCTGAATTATATCGGTTTGGAAAGAGTCCACTAAGCCATTGCAAATTAAGAACATCAGTGATTTATTTCATGCGGTCGTCAAGCCCCTGATTTCTGCAGCTTATTGACCTTGACACGCGCTCGGGTGGGGGGGGGGTCAGATTGACTTGTCCCCCCCCGAAGGTTTTTCCAGAATGGTTTCCGAACGGCGCGGTGCAGCCGCCCCATGTCTTGCGTAGCTGTAAACAATTGAATAGCGGATCGTTTGGAATACAAAATTTAGATGCACTTTGTGAGGTCGCTGACCTATGGCAGATCAAAGTCAGGCCATGGTTTCAGCGAAATCAACTTCTAGGGCATCCTTCCATCTGATGCAACAGTGGAGTGACAGACGAAGCCACACATCTATGAGATGCTTTCTTAGACAACACAAATACTGAATGAGTAAATTATGTTGACCTAAGGTCAGGTATAAAGGTCAGACCAAGGTCAAAAGCAACCCGTTTTATTACTCGAGGGCTTACTGGATGGGATAGTTTCTGGCGCTCATTTGGAATTTATTGATAGCAGGAACCGCACTATACATCTTCCATGGACTTCTTGGAGGTCAGAAAAGATCATTGACCTAAAATGATCCAGGTCAGCATTTTGTTTTACAAACATACTGCCTAGCGTAATTTTTCACGCTTATTCAACTGCAAAACTCACAGCAGTCTTGTACGATTTTTGTCATCATGACATTCAAAAGGTCAAACAAGGTCACTGGCCTTGAATGAACATGTGAACTTTTACTTAGAAACAATTATCTAGGTTATGGGGCCCCTAGAGACCAACATGGGATTTGACATTGTTTGACCTTATTTGACCCAAAAGGCATGACCAAAGAACCTCAAACTTTGACCTAAGTCAGTTAGCGTACAAGCCAACACACCTTGTGAATTTGATGTCTCTAGCTCTCTTAGTTCCAGAGATCTCAGCGGGGTCAGATTGACCCCTCACTCGTGCAAAGGGTGTCTAGCCGGCCACCTGCGCGCGTGTTAAAAATGTAAACGCAATTGATTTCACGGTAGCTTCTGGTTTCTGTTCTAGCCACAACGTGAAAACAACAATGAAACGAAAAAAAACTGTATACCTTGTGAGCAAGTAAACTATATCCGGGGATATTTTTGGTGGGGGAGATCGCCATGAAGGGGGCTTTTGTCAACCCCGTGTTCCTCTCAGCAAGGCTCTGGCTACCCGCTGCCTACACACAAAAGCAGATCAAGTCATCTAAGTGGAATGACGGGCGATTATATGTCCGTCGGGCCAATTCATACCTAAAGTATGAGGCTTACGGGCGGCATTCTACTTGGGCGATGCGGCGTGAGGGAAGATAGTTCGAAAAAGGTATGGTTGCAGGTGACCAAAACATGTTTTACATCCCAATTAGTAGTAATGCTGATCCAGAAATGTGCATCCGTGGAGGAAAGATACCCTGGTCGGGCCAATGATTTGCATTTGTCGGGGCCGCTGCAACAGGGAGAGCCCCCTGTGACGGTCAGGTGCCCGCAGTGCTCCCTGTGTCGGTAAGGGATTCCGAATCGGCTAGGGGACAGTTGCAGAACACGGACAGGGACTTCGAATGCCAGAGGGCCTCCTGCATTAGCGGGGTCCTTTGACCATGACAGAATATATGACAGCTTACGATGGAAGTTCACGAGCAGGCGGTGAAAAGGCTTTTGTCAGTCAGGGGCCAGAACTAAACAGAAGGAGGGTTTTCAGCCCATTTTAGCCAAGGGCCCGTCAGGACGAATTGGAGATTTTGTGACGATTGTTGCACTACCTGCGTCGATCAGGGATTTTGTTGTGTGAAGAAGGGCTCCTGCTTCTACCTGGGGCCAACTGCTCGGGTCAGAGGACTTCCCGCACCGGGGAGGGGACCAACACATGATGCATCTCTCCAATGCCCTCCGGAGCTAACATGCAATTGGCAGCTAACATGCACCCGCGTTGGGACGGAATGATCCTTCAGCCAATGGCCGGGGACGATAATAGGCCTACAGTGTCCTTCCCACCGGCCTCTTGCCCGGAATTAGTGTTCAATAGATCGACGTTAGGTAAAAATATGAAATAGAGCTAATCCATGTTTGCCTGACGTCCACCTTTCGCAAAATCGCATAGTGAAAATCCTGCCCCCCGCCGGAATAAGATCAGTCGTGTCCGGTAATATTTTGTAAATGTGTGTGGAAGGAGTTGAAGTTGGCGGTGGGGTTGGGGGGGATTTCACCATCAGGGAGCCCTTTGTAGGCCATATGTCCCTCCTTACCAATGCTTTGGCTGCGCCTCTGGTCACTTATGATAAGCTTATCTAGGTAAGGCTCTTCAGCAGCCTGTCTGGAACTGCTGGAGGGGAGACTGGCGGCGCTGGGTCTGCCGCTTCTGGAGATGCAGCGCCAGGGCCTGCCGCTGCTGGAGTGCGGAGGCAGGGTCTACCGATGCTGGCAGTGAGAGTGCGGGGCCTGGGTCCGCCGCCTCTGAAGTCTTCCGCTACAGCGAGTGGGTCTTCCGTTGCTTGAGTGCCGGCCTGTATCTGCCGCAGCTTGAGTGTGGCGCCCAGGTGTGCCACTGTGGGAGCAGACCTGGCCGGGAGTGCGGCGCCTGGGAGTAAAGCAGAATGCAGCGTCTGTGTCTGGTGCTGCTGAAGGGAAAGAATAAGGGTTTCGGGTCTGCCACTGCTTGAGGGCAGAGTGCGGCGCTCGCGTCTGCGGCTGATTGAGGAGGAAAGTGCGGCGCCTGGGCCTGCGGCGGCCGGAGGAGACTGAGACGGCGACCGGGTCTCCCGATATCGGCCCTGGAGAATGAGAGAGGGATACAAGGGTCTTTCAGGATCTTCGAGTCGGCAAGTGTTGAGACTGCCAAGGCGCTTCCACCGCTCGTGTCGGTCCTGTAGACTTGTGGCAGCTGTCGAACCAGCAGCAATAGTTACTACCTCGTCGCCGGCGGTGACATTCGGACCTGTGACGACGACGGCCGTAATGACACCGGAGGTACGATCCTAGGCGTCTTATGGCAAGGTATCGCGTCCATCTGCATTAGGTAGATTTTGGGCTACGGCGTTCGGTGGTTAAGGTTTTAACTGTCCATTAGTTATCCGTTGCTAGCCGCCGGCGAGGCGAATACCAATGACGTCACGAATGGGCTCGCCGGGATGTTAACAACACGCTTGGGGATTAAACTTCGCATACATGGCTTTGGGTGAATCAGAGTGATGTATACCTTGAACCCCCGTAGCGTTGTTCTGAGGAGGTCTTGATTATGTGTTATCCGCGCATCATATGTCCAATGTTTGCCGTGTTCGTTGGACATAATTAAATTGGTAATTTTTTACTTGGGTACCTGTGTGGCCGACGGAGGGAAGAGCTACGCTAGCTGCAGGGTTTCGAGTATTGTCGTGCGGGGCAAAAGCTGTGAGGCATCAGCTAACATTGTGACGTCACTGAAAATGGTTTTGCATCGATCGGGATCGGGGTTCTTTCGGGCCGACTGAAGGCCATAAGGCTTTTGCTTGTGATATGATGTCACTGGTATTCGGCTGGGTATGTGACGTCACTGGTCGTGAGTGTGTAAGGCTCTTTTGGGTCCACTGAATGCCGTAATGCATCAGCTGGCCATGTGTCGTCACTGGTATTCGATTGAACATCAGGCGCGGCCGGCCTCGTTCCATCTTTACTTTTCGTACCTGTCTGCTGCAAGCATTTGCGTGCCGCATAAAGGTTTGACCGAATTACCCCAATGTGTGACGTCCCTAATCATCACTTCATACGAGTGCACTTAGGCCTCACGACCACGGTGTGTCGTGGTCCGCGAAGTATCACCGGATAGCGTGACGTCACTGGTATTCGAATAAAAACTGGGCGCAAGAGGCCGTGCTTCATTTTTACCTTTGTACTTGTCTACTGCAAGCATTGGCGTGCTGGATGAAAGCTGCCGAACCACCTGAGTGTGTGACATCACTGGCCATGAGTTCCAACGGTGCTTTTCGGCCAACTGAAGACCACAAGGTGTCAGCTAACGACGTCACTGCTATACGACTGTAAGACGTCAATGGCCGTGGGTTTCCACGGGCCCTATAGGACCGACGAAATGCCGTTAGGCATCAGCTGGCGATATGACGTCACTGGTATTTGGCTGAACATCAGGCAACAGGTCATGCTCCATTTATACCTTTCGTACATGTCTGCTGCAAGTATTGGCGGATTTTTTGTGCGGCCAACTGAAGACCATAAAGCATCAGCCAACGATATGACGTCGCTGGCACTCGACTGTGCGTGTCGCTGGTCATGAGGTTTTACGGCCTCTTTTGGGGCGACGAAAGGTCATACGGCAATGACTGAAGATGTGACGTCACTGGTATTCGAATGAACTTCGGGCGCGACAGACCATGTTCCACCTTTATCTTTGGTACCTGTCCATTGCAAGCATTGCCGTGGAAGGCTCTGCCAAATTACCTGAGTGTGTACGTCACTGACCATTAATTTGCACACTCTTTTGAGCCTACTATAGGCCACAAGGCATCAGCTGACGATATGATGTCACTGGGTTTCGACTAGACAGCATGCGCAACAGGCCATGCTCCATCTAAGCCATGTTTCGTCTGTACCTTTCGCACCTATCTACTGCAAGTATTCGCGCGACACAGGGGCTCTGCCGAATTACCTGAGCGTGTGGTGTAACTAGTTATGAGTTAACGCGGGTTTACTCTGGCTGACTGAAGGACATCAAGCATCAGCTGACGATATGACGTCACTGGTATTCGACTAAACTTCAGGCGCGACAGGCCATGTTCCATCTTTACCTTTCGTACCTGTCTCTTGGAAGTATGGGCGTGCTGAATGAAGGCTCTGTCGAGTCTCCTGAGTAAGCAACGTCACTGGTCAAGAGCTTTTTACGGGACCTTTTGCACCCCCAAACGGTATAATGCATCAGCTGATGATATGACGTCACTGGTGTCCGACTTAACATCAGGCGCGACAGGCCATGTTCTATCTTTACCTTTCGTACCCGTCTATTACAAGTATTGACGTGCTGAACGAAGGCTCTGTCGAGTCTCCTGGGTGTGTAACGTTACTGGTCATGAGTTTTGTCTGGCTCCTTGGAACCCTCTATAGGGAAAAATGCATCAGTTGACGGCATGATGTCAATGGTGTTCGACTTAACATGAGGCGTAACAGGTCATGTTCCATCTTTGCCTTTCGTACCTGTAAAGTATTGGTGCGTTAAATGATGGCTCTGCCGAGTCACCTGAGTGTGCGACGTCACTGGTCATGAATTTTTACCAACTATTTTTGGCTGAGCGAAAGCCATAAGGCATCAGCTAACGAAATGACGTCACTGGTAATCCACTGAGTGTATGACGTCACTGGTCATGAGCTTTTACGGGCCTTTTTTGGCCGAGTTCAGGTCATTAGGCATCAGATAACGTTATGGCGTCACTTGTATTCGAATTAACATCAGTTGCAATAAACCATGTTTCATCTTTACCTTTCGCGCCTGCCTACTGCAAGTATTCGTGCGCTACAAAAAGGCTCTGTCGATTCGCCTGAGCGTGTGGTGTAACTGGCCATGAGTTTGTGCAGGTTTACTCGGGCTGACTGACGGACATCAAGCATCAGCTGACGATATGACGTCACTGGTAATCGACTAAACTCCAGACGAATCATCTGAGTGGGTGACGTCGCTGGTCATGAGTTCATACGGATTCACTTGGGCCGCCCAAGGCCACAAAGCAACACCTCCCGTGAAGCATCACAGGATGATATGTCGTCACTGTTATTCGACTTAACATCAGGTCCAACATGCCACGTACTTTCTTTACCTTTTGTACTTGTTTATTAAAGGTATTGACGTGCTGAATGAAGGCTCCGTCGAATCTCCTGAATGTGTGACGTCACTGGTCACGAGTTTTTTACGGGCTCCTTTGAACCCATTTTAGGTTATAATGCATCAGCTGACGACATGACGTTACTGGTGCTCGACTAAACATCAGGCGCAACAGGTCATGCTCCATATTTGCCTTTCGTACCTGGCTGCTGCAAATATTCGCGTGCTATATGAAGGCTCCGCCGAATCACCTGAGTATGTGACGTCACTGATCATCAGTTGGTAGGAGGTCACTTGGCCACCTACGGCTACGGAGTTCCGCAGCAGAGGTGGGAGATGCACCATAGTTAAGCACACTAATTTTATTGTGCGCACCATTAAGTAACAACTTCAAACGCAACGGGCTGTTTCAACGACTTAAATTTTGAACAAACGTAAACACAAAACAAAGGTGATCCCAGCCCACAAACCGACGTATATGCAAAGCTATTCCGCCCGACATCACAGGATGCGCCCCTGAGCAGCTACGGTCCGGAATGCCCAGATGGCTAAATAATAATCAAGAGCGCCGCCTAGCGGCCATAAGTCTGGGCCACAGCCCGAATATGAGTGACGTCATATGGTCAGGTGATGCTTGATGTCCTTCAGTCAGCCCGAGTAAGCCCGCGTAAACTCATGACCAGTTACACCACATGCTCAGGTGATTCGGCAGAGCCTTTATGTAGCGCGCGAATACTTGCAGTATAGAGGTGCGAAAGGCAAAGATGGAACATGACCTGTTGCGCCTGAGATTAAGTCAAATACCAGTGATGTCATATCGCCAACTGATGTCTTGTACCCTATAGGTACAAAAAAGCAGCCCGTAAAGAACTCATGACCAGTGACATTACACACTCAGGAGATTTCACAGAGCTTTCCTTAAGCATGTCAATGCTTACAATAGACAGGCACGAAAGGTAAAGACGAACATGGCCTGTCGCGCCTGGTGTTAAGTTGAATACCAGTGACGTCACATCGCCAGGTGATGCTTGATGTCCTTCAGTCAGCCCGAGTAAACCCGCGTAAACTCATAACCAGTCACACCACACGCTCAGGTGATTGGGCAGAGCCTTTATGTGGCGCGCGAATACTTGCAGTAGGTAGGTGCGGAAGGTAAAGATGAAACATGACATATTGTATCTGATGCTTAATTGAATACCAGTGACGTCATATCGTTACCTGATGCCTAATGGCCCTAAGTCGGCCCAAAAAGGCGCGGGAAAACTCATGACCAATGGCGTCACACACTTAGCGGATTACCAGTGACGACATATCGTTAGATAATGCCTAATGGCTTTCCCGGCCAACAATAGCCTGTACAAACTCATGATGACGCACTCAGGTGATTCGGCAGAGCCATCATTAGGCTCGCCAATACTTTAACAGGTGCGAAACGCAAAGATGGAACATGACATGTTGTGCCTGATGCTAAGTCGAACACCAGTGACATCATATCGTCAACTGAAGCATTATACCATATAGGGGGTTGAAAAGAGTCCGTAAGAACTCTTAACCAATGACGTGATATAACACGCGAATGCTTGCAGTAGACAGGTACGAAAGGTAAAGATGGAACATGGCCTGTTGCGCCTGATGTTGAGTCGAATACCAGTGACGTTATATCATCCCGCGATGCTTTACAGGATATGATGCTTTGTTGCATTGGGCTGCCCAAGTGAACCTGTAAAAACTCATGACCAGTGACGTCACACACTCAGATGGTTCAGCATCACCTTGATATAGCACGCGAATGCTTGCAGTAAACAGGTACGAAAGGCAAAGATAGAGCATGGCCTGTTGCGCATGACACCTAGACGAAAACCGGTGACGTCATATGGTCAGCTGATGTGGTATGGCTTACAGTGGGTTCAAAACAGTCTATACAAATTAATGGTTAGTGACGTTGCACACTCAGGTAATTCGGCAGACCCTTCCTTCAGCATTCAAATACTTGCAATGGACAGGTACCAAAGGTAAAGATGGAGCATGGCCATGGCCGCCTGAATTGTATTCGGATACCAGTGACGGCACATCTTCAGTTAATGTAGTATGACCTTTCGTCGGCCCAAAAGAGGCCGTAAAATCTGATCACAAGTGACATCACACGCAGTCGAATGCCAGTGACGTCACATCATTAGGCTATGCTTTACGGCCCTCAGTTGGCCCCCAAAGATCCATAAAAATGCATGACCAGTGACGTCACACACTCACGTGATTTGGTAGCTTTTATTCATCACGCCAGTGCTTGCAGTAGACAGGTACGAAGCTAAAAATGAACCTTGACCTGTTGCGACCAATATTTAGTCGAATATCACTGACGTCACGATACCCAGTGATATTTCACGGAACGTGATACACCGCGGCCGTGGGGCCTAAGAGCACTCGTATCAAGTGGTGATTGGTGACGTCACACATTCAGGTGATTCGGTCAAGCTTTTATTCGGCACGCAAATGCTTGCAGCAGACAGGTACGAAAGGTAAAGATGGAATAAGGCCCGTTGCGCCTGATGTTTCATTGAATACCAGCGACGACATATCGTCAGGTGATGCTTTACGGCATTCATTGCACCCAAAAGAGCCCTAAAGCCTCACAACCAGTGACGTCACATATCCAGTCGAATACCAGTGACATCATATCGCTAGCAAAAGCCTTGTAGCCTTCAGTCGGCCCAAAAGGACCCAGATCGATGCAAACCCATTTTCAGTGACGTCACTACGTCGGCTGATACCTAGCAGCATTTCTCCATCATGGCAGTACAGGAACCCTGCAGCCAGCGTAGCTCTCTCCCCACCGTCGGCAATACAGGTACCCAAGTAAAAAAAAAGCCATTAAATTGTGGCGGCCATCCTTGTGAACAGTATATGATGCGATTTTTGGCTTCCACGCCGCTGCTCCTCTGCTCATTGGATTCGGATTGTTGTCCATGTAGCCGTAACGTTGGTGAATTAGGCTGTAAACATTCTCATAGTTCTGGTGACCCATCAAGCATGGGATTGTTTGTAGGCTGGAATTGATGGCCGTGATGAAGTGGATTTTTTTGGCAGCTGTTTCATTATGGCATGTGCCATCCAAAGACATGAAGGACCAAGGGCCATGGCTTGGAAATGACATTACTCATTCCATTTGATGCTGCTCAAACGATTGTATTTCTGTGATGTTAAGAATGTGGAAACACTTGCATTAAGATGCCTATGCCTTTTTCATGATTGTTGTGGTACCTTTTTGTTGCTGGTTCATGGTGTGACCTCTTACTTCCTCTTTTCAGCTTAATTGAATTTGAAGGGAATTTGCTGAAACACCATTCAATTTATCAAATTTGAATCATAATGAACAGGCTTTTTGGAAGTGCAAAGCCCAAGCAACCTCCTCCCAATCTCACAGATTGTATTGGAAATGTAAGTGGTGCATGTGACATTTTCTTGAATGGTAAAATTTTCATCTTGCAGGTTAGCTTTATTGCAAGAAATATACTTGATTTGGATGTTAGACCTTCATTTTATTGAGGGAAATAATTTATGCTGCAAGCTTATAATTGCCAGCCTATCTGGTGCAATTTATCACATAAGATGTATGGCAACTAAAATTATCATTGCTAGAATGCAAATGTATGTGCGAACTGGCATGGTCATTAAGATGTGGTACTCTTACAAATATCCTTGAGCAGTATGGTGCTTTTGTCAGATACATATTATAACATGCTACATGTAGCATGACATATTATAACAATAATGGATGTTACAGCTTATTTGAGGTCTATGTTTCAGGTGGACAGCAGAGCAGACTCCATAGAGAAAAAGGTAGCACGGCTTGATGCTGAACTTCGGAAGTACAAGGATCAAATGAAGAAGATGAGAGATGGACCTGGAAAAAATGCTGTTAAACAAAAGGCTATGAGGGTCCTGAAACAAAAGAAAATGTGAGTGAGCATTTTTTTTACATTGTCATAAAATGGTCAAATTGCAGAGGGTATTTCATTGTCCTTTCATGATATAAACCTTTGGGAAAGAGTTTGTGAATGTGTTTAAACTTGTATCCAGAATGCCTTAAAATGGAGTAAAAAATGGGAAAATTACCAGTCAAGCTGCAGTTAAGTTTCATGATACACAAAACTTGTTTTTTAATTGTATTATTTTTCACTAAGTTATCAGTGCCACCTAACTGCTGCACATTCATGCTGCATACTGCTTAATGGCAGGGTTCTGCCGACTGGGCCGGGCTGTTTGCGCTTACCTTTTCTGTGGAAATGTGGTACCCAAAAAGCATTGGCCCGATGATGGCACATTGTATGGCACATTTTATGGCACACAATACCTCTGAAGCCCTGTTGGCATTGGGCAGAGAAAATTGTCTTGTAATCACATACTGTGACTTCAGAATAGGCCTGCAAAGTGTAAACTGCATCACACAACTCCGCAGTGTTTGTACAGCTGGCTGCAGAATAGACCCACAAAGTGTATGTTGCATCATGCAACTCCATAGTGTTTGTATAGCTGGCTGCACAATAGACCTGCAGAGTGTATATTGCATCACACAACTCCATGATGTTTGTGTAGTTTGGTGGTGAGTGGTGCGGTGTAAGAACCACATCATGCTTTGTAGTATGTTAGCAGCCATGGTAACAGCATGTCATTATGGGATGCTGCCTGTGCAGTAGTGCAATCATTATGAAGTCTTCCACCAAGTGCCCTGCTAGCCAGACAAACAATTGCCCCGGGAAGATATAAAAAACAACATCATCTTGCTTTGATGTTGAGAAATTACCAAAATCTGACCTACAGAGTTTGTAAGCCAATGAGACAACTTCAAGCAACAAAAGATGCCCCTATTTCTTGTGAGTGTAGTGCACAAAAGTCTCGACCTGCAGGCTGCTATTGACATCACATGTTGGTTTCAATATGGCTGTATCCTGAAATTAATACTAATTCAATCTGGAAAAGAAGGAACAGGAAAGAAAGTTGATGGGAAAGGCATAGGGTGGTTTGACTTTAAATGCATCATCAGGGCCTCACAACACATTTTAAGCCCTGTGTGTTGGCTAGAGGTGTATAAATGTCACGGAAAAACCACAAATTGTTAATTATCTGAAAAATTTACCATGCCATTTTGATCTAAGCTGGGATGAGCCAGTGCCGGAGTTATTGTGCCAGATTAAGGCTACACTTATAAAAAGGAATGCTAACAGTCCAAATTCCTGGTACTGACTGTTTCAGTTGGAAGTGAAGTTACACATTTCTTTGATAATGTCAGTAGATCTGAGCTCGCTTTAACATACTGTGGGACAACCGCTGCATCCTCCCATTTTCAAATGAACTCAGCACCCCTGCAGCAGCTAACTTAATGTTCATTCAGTCGTACAGTTTTTCTGCCAATAGGTGGCCGATGATCGCAGTAGGTCGGCCGGAGGCATGCGCTTCTTTGTTTCCCCGTTGGATTGCGTTTTGGCGGACGGGTCTCGGTTGGGATCACATGCGCGAATAGCATAGCCGGACACTGACACAGCCAAATACTGATACATGCCTGGACACTGATGCAAGGCCAGACACTGACACAAGACCAGGCGCTGACACATAGCCAGACGCGGGCACATAACGTGACACGCGGTGGTGGCGCCGCATCGCAGCTGATAACACCTAGATCTGCGGCAGGTACGAGTCCCAGCTGGATAATTTGCGGCAGCAGTCGTTCAACATGGAGCAAGCCAACTACGCCACCCAGTCACTAAAGGACACGCAGGCCACGGTGGTGGCTATGAGGGCAGGAGCAAAGGAGATGAAGAAGGAGTTCAAGAAGATCAACATTGATGATATCGAGGTGGGTGACAAATTGGGTGCGTATGTATTACACCAGTGATCATTCGTTTGTTTTGGATCAATCAGTATCCCATGCCCTTACATGCGCTGTACTTTTTGGGAAATGTGCAAGCATTAAGGTTTCATGAATGTGTTGTCGATACTTGTTAAGTCATAATCAATAATAACATTACGTACCCGGAACCACGCGGGGTAAACGTAGCCCCTCCCCAGTTTCAAGAGGAACTGAGGCAAGTATGTCAGTATGGTGTCATGACTTCCATTGATGATCAGCTGATAAACTCAACACTCACTGAAGAAAAACATCGGTGGTAGGTCAAGTCGCAAGACTATGTCATTAGTGATAACCTAGATGATTCATTTTGCTTCAGCATGCGACAGTGCGTGATATCCTTTCTGGTTGAGGGGATTTTTCGAGTGGGTTGACGACGTTCCCTACATTCGTTTCATATAAGACATACGGTATATCACACCACCAACCACACGGAGCTCATGTTTCGTCAGCTCAACACATTTCACCTAAAGGGATGTTTGCTGCGCATTTATGGTAATTAAGCCGGTATGATTAACATGTTTTTATGTCAGTTCCTGTGATAAATGATGTGGAACAGTGGCGTAGAAAATCGGAGCCGATAAGCTCACCTGACCTGGGGCTGACCAGCTTGGCCTGATGGGACCTTTGCTCATGCTTTAACTGACGTTGTGGTAAAGTTCCGACATTTAGGGTGCGCTCGTGCGTTTAATGTCATTTACAAAGCTGTGCGAACACGATTATGGCTGCTGTCGAGCTCCGAAGTCGTTTAAGTTGTATGTCATTATTAGGAGGTCTTGCGCCTTGTGTAGTTCGCCTGTCGCCTGCAGTATGTCAGTCTGACGACTTCTGGGTGATACGAGCATCGCTCATCCTTTGCCGTTTTCATTTGCACGTCCCCCCCCCCCCCCCCCACACACACGGACGGTCGCGGTTGTTGGAATGCATGTGTAGGCGATGGGCGAGAATCCAACAGAACAGTCGAGACTGCGGCACGCCGACACCACCGAGTCCCAGGGACTGCGGCAGGCCGACACCACAGAGTCCCAGGGACTGCGGCACGCCGACACCACCGAGTCCCCGGGACTGCGGCACGCCGACACCACCGAGTCCCCGGGACCGCGGCACGCCGACACCACCGAGTCCCCGGGACTGCGGCAGGCCGACACCACCGAGTCCCAGGGACTGCGGCAGGCCGACACCACAGGGTCCCAGGGACTGCGGCAGGCCGACACCACAGAGTCCCAGGGACTGCGGCAGGCCGACACCACAGAGTCCCAGGGACTGCGGCAGGCCGACACCACCGAGTCCCAGGGACTGCGGCGGGCCGACACCACCGAGTCCCAGGGACTGCGGCACGCCGACACCACCGAGTCCCCGGGGCTGCGGCAGGCCAACACCGCCGAGTCCCCGGGACTCCGCTGGTGACCAGGCATCAACTGAGTTTCGGGCAACCGCACCCAACATTCATTGCTCCGTCGTCTCGCTGGCAATGGCACCGTGCACAGGCCGTCACATGTAGTGAGATTGGCCCCAGCACTTTCGTCTGTGTCCCCACTGCAACGCGCCTGGCAACTTGCCACCCCATCCACGACCCCACCTGCCGCGGGGGAGGTAAGGGGGCTGTCACCTCCACTGTCCTCGCCGTACCCGTCCGCCACCGGGCCCCGTCTGACGGATGGCGCGCCGCTGCCGCCGGCGCCCGCAGGATATACAGGACGACATGGCCGACCTGCTGGAGCAGTCGGAAGAGGTGCAGGAGGCGCTGGGCCGCAGCTACGGCACGCCCGAGCTCGATGACGACGAACTGGAGGCCGAGCTGGACGCATTGGGCGACGATCTGGCGCTGGATGACGACCTCAGCTACCTTGGACGAGGCGAGCCGCGCCCCGGAAATCCCCGGCACCGAGCCGGGCGCCGCCTCCGTCGGCCAGGTGAGCACGCGCAGACAGGCACGCACGCACGCACACTCGCACGCACGCACGCACGCACGCACGCACGCACGCACGCATGTGCTCATTGACGCTTATGCAAACTGGTGTTGATGCGTGCACATTTTCGTCAGAATGTGCGCACAAGACCTGCCTGTACACGTACATGCATGCAGTGCCAGTCACCCCACATGTTGCTACAATGGCACCTTGTGTCGTGGTTGACGAGCAAACCTTCTGCAGCACGTATACTGCACGGCTGGCTGGTCGTCCCACGATGCGTTTCCCCGGGTGCCAACATTTTAAAGATGGCCGCCATCACGCTTCTGGGGAGATACTTACATGCACCCTGCCTAGGTGGTAAAATTTTAGTCTCATCGCTGCCGTCAATTATGAGACATCCTCGGTTTTGAGTAATACGATAGAATGCGTGGGCTTGGCTGTGTGCCGACAGAGGTCGAATGTAATGTTCTGAGTCGGTATCGCGTGGTTTTCTGAGCGTTGGCGTTAGGAGCATGTGGCTGATGTTTAGTAAAGTTGGTTCAGATCGGGTCCTGTTTTATGCTAAATTTAGTGAAGTTAATGTGAAACGTATTCTTGCATGCCCTTGAACTGGGCGGAGGCGGACTTAAGTCAAGTGGTTGCCAGGGAACAATGACTCCACTAACACATGGAAGATGTGATGTTCAGTATCCGGCGTTTATTGTAGAGTAACACCCTGAATGGTGTTACCATGGTGCTACGGCCGGTAGTGAGACCCACTCCACTACAAATGCACGCGGCATCGTGTAGGAAAGGATGGGACTGAGTACTGCGACGCACAGCACTGGGTCGGTTTTAGCAGCTGCTTCCTGTGGTACAAGTCAGAAATATTGCTGAAACGTGCATAGAACAGCGCGAGTCCGGTGGCTGGGATTATTTGTTTTGAATCAGTGTCGGGTCTGCCGTTCGTGGGCGAGTCTGGTGGCTTGAATGATTGGTTTTGAATCGGTGTCGGGTCTGCCGTTCGTGGGCGAGTCTGGTAGCTGGGATGATTGGTTTTGAATCGGTGTCGGGTCTGCCGTTCGTGGAACATGCATTAGGCGTGGACTCACGATTCGCGAGGCCGTGCGCTGCTTGGCATAGCAGGCAATGTAGGTGCTAAATTAGAGCGTTCTCCGTCAGGACACACTCCTTTGCAGAGTCGTTCGGTTCCCCGTTGCAACAGTCTCAGACTTTCTTTCTAAAAAGATCGCCTGAAACGCGGCTAGCTTTTTGATCGGTTGAGGCTAGTACACTGGCAGTTTGTTTTTCATCGCTTTTTACCTGAACCTGAAGCCGGTATAAACAGACAGAGACTCTAACAGCAATAGTATTGCGCACTTTAGCGATGGTGTTGGCGCATTCCAGTTACACTGCTTTCTCTTCAGTCAAAAGACCAGCATAAGCACACCGACACAACAGTATGATCAAGACACTTGAGTTATTGGCTGTGATTGGAACATGATAAGAACGTCTAAATGTGTACCTCATGGCCACTGTCGGCGTATTGCGATCCACAACGAATTATGCTACAGTTAGTTTTGACATGCTTCCACCCAGATTTATGAATTCAGCACGCGACGGTTAGTAATGCTGCATACCATCATGCGAGTGATCATGCTATATAATGGGCACGATTGGATCTACTTAAAGCCGATAGGTGGTAGTGACACTAACTCAGTGCTTAAATGTTTACCTAAGAATTCGGTAGGATCTTCTGACGCAAACTGATGCTGCGGTGCTACCTGTCTCAAGCCCCAGTGTGCATGGTTTATGTCTGACCGATTGTGTATTTGCATTGTACATTTTCATCAGGGTCTGACTTTGTACTTTACGTTGCCACAAAGCAGGACTGCACTGTAAGATGAGAGAATGATGACGTTTGGCAGACAATATGGATTAATACTGCCTTTGTGCGATGTGTCAAGCTTATCAGAAAGGGGATCTAGCAGGCGTATTATGGGGCTGCCTATCTGTCCCATAAGCATGTCATGCGATGACAGGTCATGAATTACTTGTCAACTGACCGGACCTTCAGGCTTTCATATTTTCACACTTGATCGATGTATATATTGCTCTTTTTCATATATGGGCTCATTAATGCCAGACAGGGGCACGATTCTTAATCAGCAACGTCTCAAGTGGAACCTGCATTGTCATTAAGCTGTTACGCCGGGCACATTGCATGTAAAGCGTGGCTCGCCATTGTCATATTTTGTTAGCATCTGCCGATTTTTGCCGCCAGCAGTTTTTGCCACCTGGTTTTATCTGTTGAAACCGATTGGAAAAAACCTGTTCGCAGCCAACTGATGCCAACCCTGCCTAAACGCGGCGGTACTGGCGCTGGCGGCGTAGGTGGCGCCACCTATGTTCACCGAGGGGGCGGGAACCCGAGCCTGCGGCCGTGCCGCAGCATTGTGCGGCGCGTAAAACCCGCCGCATTCCTGCCGGGTGAAGGGGCGAGGGCAAAACTCGTCATTGAGCTGGACGACACGAATTGGAAGGCGGGCTCATGGGGCACACGACACTATGCTGAGCAGGTACCCTGAACTCAAAGCCACTCATGCAAACCATTCGGAAAGGGGCAGAAAGAAGATTTGGCTATCGCGTCCAACAAAGTAAGCACACCGATGGCGTTGTTCGCAAGTGCTCGAGGTCATAATCAGGCGTTATACGCATGACCGAGTGGTACCACCGCCTGGTATGACGACGGCCTGGCACGATGGGGCTGTGGGTCCCTGATATGCAATTTCACGCGGTTCTGTTGAATCTAGTCATCCCTGCGGGGCGACAACATTTAAGGTGGAACTGTAGCTTGCCCGTTATGGCAACGCCGTGCTGGCACGCACCGACTCGTGTGTTCCGCTCATCGTAACGCCGCTTGTTGCGCAGCTGTACTTGACAATGGTGGCAGCGAGAGCCTGCTCTGGCGCCGTCTGACCCCGGGACCGGTGGTTGGGACCGCTGATGCCAACCTGATGCTGATGCTGATGCCTGGTGTACGCACAGCATGGATGCAGCTTCCGTCATGTGGCCGTGTGTTTGTTGTTCGTTGTTTATTTCCGATTATGGCCATGAGGCAGGACATGATATGATTAGTGGATCGGCGCAAAAGCGGAGCGCTTAAATCTGGGCGCCTCTCCCAGCAGTAGTAAAAAGGAGTCAGCGTCACCGGGAGCCCGCGCCCCACCGCCCACTGGTCCGATCTGCTAGCTGAGACGGGCCAGGCGTGCGCCGCCGCTCCGGTTCACACTTGCAGCCGTCTCCGGCTGGCAGCGGACGCCCGGCCCCGTAACGCCGTTCAGTCACTCTTCTGCTGCATGCGTCCGCCGCAAGTCCTAAGGCGAATCGTTTGGTTTGAAAACCAAGCTCTTGGAGCATTTTTGTGATCTGCCCGGTGCAACTTCGCAAACCGTTGCCGCCCAGATAGATGTTAACTTGCTCGTTGTGAGTGAGCTCGCAAAAGTTTTAAATGATGCAATCTGCTTTAGGCGGCATTTAAGTTCTGATTTGCTGAGAGCGAGGACAATTCAATGCGTATTGTTTTGGATCTTCGTACTTATTGCCATACAAGCAAGAGGGAACAGGTGCTGTTGATTTTGAATTTGAAGCGTCTGAGCCCAAGAGTCTGACACTCACAGTCTCAGCTTAGTTTTTAGGATGTCGCCAAGCCTGTATCCAAAGCTGTGGTACATGGAAGGTTCAGCTACACCGCACCGGTGGTGCATTTCTTTTTTGAAGGAATGAGAAGATTTGAGGGATGTCACCTTAAGCGGGAGTCGGTTCCATCTTCTCGTGATTGATGAGATGTAGGAGTTTTGGTGTGTTGTGATTCTGTTCGGTGGCAATGTGAGTGTCCTGGCTTTGCGTAGCGGACGTCCAGTCACGAGAAATCGTGTGTCGGGTAGAACTGCGGTGACGTTTGTTGACAGTTGATGTTGGTTGTGGATGAGGATGTAGGACAGCGTCGTTTTGTGTATGTCTCTTCGTAACATGATGGCTCTCCATCCGAAGTATACAGTGTGCGGACGTGTGTTCTGTAGAGATCACCGGTGGTAACTGGCTGCTCTGTGCTGTCTTTCTTTCAACTGGACGACTCACTTAGTCTTTCAAGCCTACGTGAGTCGCTAGCTGCCAAAAGTCATATACTAGGCCACACGAATCAAACAAAGGAAGAATGCAAGCCGTGTGTATGTCGTTGAGAACATGTGGCAAAAGTCGCGATAGTGGGTAGAGAGTCCCTGGGGCTCTACTGATTCTGGAGATGGCGTCATCAACGTGCTGATGAAAGTGCAAATCACTCGACAGCGTCAGACCTGGGTGTTTGTGACTTGTAACGAAAGGGCTCGTTAGCCATCAAAGGGTTATGTGGTGGGTTATATGTGTTTCTGTCGGTGAATGTTTGCTGAATTGTTTTCGTGGCGTTGAACGTGATGAGCCATTCTTTACCGAACTCTGGTATGCTATGTAAGTCATGTTGGCGTAACACTTGTATGGCCGCCGGGTCGTGTGAGTGTGCTGCGTATAATGTGGTATCGTCGATAAAGAACAACATGTCGATGTCAGTCTTGTCGGCTAGGTCGTTGAGATATATAAGCGCAGACAGAGGCCCCAGGGCCGACCCTGGCGCGCATCCAGCAGGTATTGTCCCAGTGAACTGTTGCCAGCCTTGATTTTAGCGTGCGATCTGAAATGTATGATTCTAGCCAATTTATGAGAATTTCTGACAAGCCACAATAGTTCTTTCACTTGAGTAGGAGGCCGTTCTGCCATGTCTTGTCAAATTAGTTGCTAATGTCCAAGCGGAAGACGACAGTGTTTGCGTCGGTCCGAGGCTGCGTAAAGATTGTTAATGAAATACACAAGCTGAGCTTGTGTGCTATGTTTTGGACGGTGCCTTCTTAATTTCCCAGGGAGCACCCTGCTCTCCATTAGGTGCTCATAGATACTTTTGAGGGTAATTCTTTCAATGTATTTTTTACACAAGGAAGTAAGCGGATCGGCCTGTAGTTGACAAGATTCGAGCGTGACGCCTTGTTTTTGAAAATGGGATGAACCTTTACTTCCTTCCCAGTGGAAGGAAAATCACCCTGGCTTAGTGACATGTGAAACATTATTGTGATGGGTTTCCTTATCAAAATGACAGTCATTTTTGATCTATTTTTCTGGAAGATTGTCAGGGTTGCATGATTTGTTCGAGTCGAGAGAAATGAGTACGTTCAGCACTTCGTCCTCTGTAATGGTTATGGCATCTAACGTGTGTTGTGGATCCGCAAGCGCGGTCTCGGGGACAGGCAGGTCGTCAGCTACGAGTTGTGATTGTCTGGCAACAAAGTCACCTGGTACGTTAGCTTCACCCGAGTCTCCCGTCTCTGGTTTTGCGTCAGGTTTGACGAGCGGGGGTACTGTTTCAGTTCGCATTTGTCCTAACATCTGTCTGAGGATGCGATGGTACTCCTATGGGTTTTGCTTTGCATGCAAGGGGTGCCTTACTTGGTGTTGCGAGCGGTTGTTCTGAAAGAGGTGTTCCACATTTTCATAGGGTTTTGAACTAAAAAAATAAATCCATCTTGAAAATCATTAGGTGCTGTTCACAGCCTTGCCCGTTTTAAGACCGAAGCCCCTCTAGTTTCTGAGATGTGCGCTCGCAAAGATGTCCAGACTTTTCGAGGAGACTATGTCAAAGTCACTCAGGCACGTATGACGCCATAATGCCTTTCAAATCCTGTCATTCCATTGGCCTTACGGCGACCAAGGCCCCTGACATGTAGTTGTCGGTTATTCATATCTTGCGTTTGGGCGCAAAATGACCATTGAAGTCGACGCGCCCGAAAACACCGATGAACAACAATATCTGGCGCTCGTGAGCATGATTTCCAGGTGTAACGGCCGTCAAAAAGCTCTCAACCATTGTTGTGCAAAGTACGGTGATGTAATCAAACATCAAACAATGACGTATTGAGGACTATATTACTAAAGATATTCACTAAAGAGAGAAACTGTGTGGTCCAGAGCAATCTTTCCACTCGAAGGTATACCAGTAATTATAATTGAGTTTATGTAATCATATCTGATGCTTGTTTCATCATCTTCAAATTGGAGCATTCCCTTCAAGTTCGTTCATGCATGCGGTCAGATTTCCGTGTTGTATGTTTGGCGCACATCGTTCTCGACCGCCGACGGGGCGAGCTCGTCGTTTTTGCTTAGCTAAGAGACGCGCTGTCTTGGCGCCCAACCGCCTGTGCTGTTCTTTGGGAGGAGGGGGCATAGCTTGCGCACTGTGACCATTCTGGTGGTCACACCGTTCGTCTGCGCTGTGTCGTCTCGAGTCGTCCGCACTACATACGTTTTGATCCCCCCCCCCTCCCTCCCTCCCTCCCGACCGTGTGACCGCGCTCGGCCGGCGTGTTGGGGTCGTGACCTGGCTCTTCCGTCGCAGGACGGCGTGCTGCTCGACGAGTTTGGCCTGCCCAGGATCCCGGAGCGGGCGCAGTGAGCGGCCGGCCTGCGGGCACCACCTCCGGCCGGGAGAGCGCCGGCACCATCACCAGTCGAGGGAGGGCGCACTGCACGCCAGTGACGAGCCCTGCCTGCCAGCCGCATCGTGCTGACCCTGGCGCGGCGGGATGGGAGCGCGGCTCCCGGCGCTGCGCGGCGCCACCGCAGCCGGAGCCGGTCTGGGGTGTCGCTAAGGTGTTCACGCTGCGCTGGTTCCGTGCTGGTAAATGCTGGCGCGGCAGCCGACCTTCGCGGGGACGTTCTGTGTGTTGCACTGGACAATGATGCGATGGAATCACTGCACGCCGCGCGGGCTGGTCAGCGCCGGTCTGTTCGGTCTAGAATATGCTTTTAGTGATTCGCGTACCTGGGGAGCTGTTATTCGCAGCTTGTCCTGTCGCCTTCTCAATACTGCTTAGACTGCAGTCGGGTCGTGTGACGAGTTGGGCTAGTGGAGATTTCGAACTGGCGTCGATACCTGAACAATAGGATGACACGCTCCTTTCTGGCTTCATCACGCATCGTTGTGTCCCCGACTCAAATCACTATTGCCACAGTCGTAAGCGTGCCCCTTCCAGCGATACTCTGCTCGAAAGTTACGTGAGCGAACGCGAATAACCTAGTGTTAGCCTGATGAAGCCCGGGGCGTCCGTCCCAGTGTAGCCAGTGTTCAGTGCATCTCGCCACAGCAGTGCTGGACAATGTCGTCTGCTGTCACAAAGCCGAATCCCACACAGGTTCCGTGAGCCCAAATCGGACCGATATAAATTGTTGCGAAGAAGTGCTTATGACTCGCCTACACAAGGGTGGGAAGAGGGCGTTTACTCGACATAGTGCCTGCGGTGTGGGCAGTCCCTCGGGTGCGGGGTTTGCCCCTTCTTTTCGCTGGATGGGCATCGTGAAACGCAGCGTACACCATAATATAGACGTTCTGTTCACTGGTGCACTTTGAGACATTTGCCTAGCATTGTATTGTATTGTTTGCCCAACGTTGACTAATATCTACACGGCTAGGCCGACAGGGGCGTACCATATTTGAATTATATACACTTAGGCTTTGCGGAGAAAGCGCTGTCTTCTGCCTTGTCTCGTATAATGCTTAGGTATAGCGCCTTTAAATAAAATTGTGTTATTTCCTGAATGGGTTATTATGCCTTCATATGCGGTGATGACATCGAGGGTGATCTCTTTAAGATCCGTGCACATATCAAGGTGGTGCACCGGGTACTTCTCGGCTCCTCCGGCCGGGCCTTTATAGCCTCGCTGAAATGGGACTGCTCACTCTGAGTCCGGACTGCAAGTATCTGCAGAACATGAGTTGGAATTAAGGGCGTGCGCGACGCATGCGCGGAACGCGAAACTGTAAATGGACCAAGCGCTGCGCTCCCTGCGGCCCATACCAAGCGTTGCGCTGCCTGCGATGCAGACGGAACATTGCGCTCCCTTCGGTGCCACTTACAGGGCGCCCCAATTCTGTCCGATAATTCCTTGCGTAGATCCGCTTTCGCCCGCATGCCGCAGACCCACAACCCTGTTCCTCATTGCAGCGTACTTTCCACGAATTCTTGGTGGCCGAAGGTCACAGGGTGTTGCGTGGTCGGTGACGCGGAAGAGGTCGATGTTGCGAGGAGCTGGTGATAACGGAGAGCGAGTGCGGCGGTGTTCGAAGAGGGGGCGGGAAGGAGGCAGATGCTGACGGACAGCGTGGGGCGGGCGCTTACCACCACAAGCTGAGACAGCTTCCTTGAGACGCTCCCAGGTCGTCGCCCGGCTTTCAATACAGTGTTGCGGGTGTTGGGACCGAACTCGATGGACGTGGACGTCGCGTGTGCAGTATCGCGCAAGGCCATTGTCGAGCTGTGAGGCGTCGGGGCTAGCTCTGGGAAGGACTGTTCCTCGTTGCATCACGGGAGGGAGGGGCCACCGTCGAATCATCACTGGAAGTCACACGTCCGGATCAGTTGGTGACCACACCTGCGTTTTGGCTGTATGCGGCCACAGTGAAACGTATTCTACGTCGCTGTAAATCTGTTGAGGATATACGCGCGATTTTTTCTTGCACATGGCACACCAAATGTGTGTTACAAACGCACCAAACGTATGCTAAAAAACGCACCATATATGTGCTTGGCGCTCACCGCGCGGCTTATTTTGTATCTCGCTGAAGTTAACGCTCCATGCAAACTCGGAAGTCCCAAGCTCAGACCGGAGCGACGGGAATGCGAATGACAGAGCCCGACACTCCACTGTCGGTATGTGTCGCTGCTACGCGCGCCGCGCGGCCGCCCGGAGCGGGCGCCTGCCTGGAGTGCTGCGCCGCAGGACACGCCGGCCGGCTGGACCGGCCTTTCGAGCCAAGCCGCCTCGGAGCCTCCGGCCGAAAACGGGACGCTGCCTTTGTTTTTGAACTTGACGCAAAGTTCAACATTGACCGGAGCTCATTAACTCGCTTTGACAACCTTGCAATTGGTGGTGAACAAGGTGTAAAGTGATTAAATATTACGCGGCGTTCGACTGGGCGCGCGAGTGGAGAAGCCGGACCGCCGAATGGCAGGTGAGGCCGTGGCCACACCACCTTTTATTGAAACCCGAGACTCAACCATTGCCGTATTGACAGATAATCCACTCTGACCACTTTCATGCACAAACTGTTGGCATTATGTGGACCGGGATACCAATGCTGACTGGTTCGTCGACTGGACGGGCTATGAGGCTCAGAGGCCTGGACTGGCAGTAGCGAGTCCGGGCACCATCGCCATGTTCGATTCAAGGGTTACACCGACCTATGCATCGCGCATGCGAAAACTCCCGACCATCTAGAATTATGACGAAGCCCGCGAACTCGCGCATTTGGCGATCACATTTGTCCATAAGTGGTAACGGCGGCCAACAGTTCAGGGAAAAATTCCCGAGTAAGGTGATGGGCATAGGCGGATCCTGGGAGGGGGGGGGGGACACGGGGCCATGACCCCCAAAAAACTCTGAGAGTATGTTTACCCCCCCCCCCCCCAAAGCATTCCCAGAACTTCATAAAAGTTTCGTCTACCTACCGTCTGTTTTAACTTCGTACTGGACTGCACTATCCGAGGTCCAGAGCATCCCACACCAGCCAGCTGGCGACGAACGGTTGCACCCCCTCCCGAAAAAAAAACAACTCCATGCTAGATCCGCCCCTGGTGATGGGATGGAGGTCTGCTAGTGAAGCAGCGTTGTCGGCCGTTGGTTCGGTCAGTCAAGGTATTTGCCGATGCGAACCAAAGAAGTGAACGAGCAAAGACCGCCACGCCAGCGAGAAGTTACGAACAGGGTAACTACAACGACGCCGCAGTCTTCCTGACACGACGCGGAAGCACGCTTGCCGCATATCCGGGATTCCCTCCGTCGGGCGCTGCGGGCTCGGGGCCACGAGCCGCCCCAACCGCCCGCGCTAGTCAGGGCCGTGACCTCCGATCCCCCGCCCCCCGTCCGCCGCCGGCGTCTCCGCTCCGGGGGCGCAGGTGCCCGCGGCCTTCCGCCGGCGCCGACTGCTGGCCGCGCATGCGCGCTGGCCGCGACCAGGTGGTGCGGCAGCCGCCGTCGATCCGATAAAGCGACAGTCGGTCAGGTGCGCGGTGGCAGTCGGGTGCGCCACGCCTCTCTCCGCCGGGTTATTCGTCTGTCGGTGAGTGGGAGCACGCCCGTCGCCGCCGGCGCCGACGCAGCCCGCGGCGTCGGCTTCGGCGCAGAGCGGAGCGTGTTTGCGTGCTGTCACGTCGCGCTTGACGGCGACGCCCCAGGTGTTCGGCGTCGGCGGCTGCCGGGTGATTATGCGACGGTGGCGCGGGACAAACACGCTGTCGGCGAATGCCGGCTCCTCGAATGCTCGTCTTGCAGCCGACCGTCGCTCGCTGCTACGCGGCGCGTTCCGAGACCGGACGGCAGCGGCTTGTGCAGTGCCTCCGGGGACCCGGGGGTAGGGGCGACAGCGCACCATATGCGGAGGGGATCCGGCCCGGCGGCGCGCGTCTGGCTTTAGATAACGCGCTCGCCGTTGCCTGCGGGCTGCATTCGTTATGTTAGACGCTTTGCCGTGCAGGCGGCAGCAATTTCGTCGAGTTCTGGAATTAACATAAGGACATAAATGCGCTGCAGGGAAGTTTTGGAGGATGTGTTCAGCTGGTGGGCCATGCAAATGAAACCTGCCGTGAAATGCGCTGTTAATGCCTGTTGAATGTCCACGCCATGGTATCAATCGCACTTCAGGCACGAAGCTAGACTTCCCCAGGGAGGGACCAAATGCCACATTTTGTTCAATCTCTTGCAGACTGACTAAGTTTCTGCAGAGTCGCTTGGCATCTGGTATGCACATTTCCTGGCTTGGGAAACCATGGCCTCCGTGCCTTTCCCTGCCTTGGCTACGGACCCTTCCGAAATGCGTCATTATTTACGTTTACATTACCCACGCTACCCACGTACTCGCGTACGCACGCCAGCGCAGAACACCCGCTCAGCTCGGAGCACATTCCTTGATGGTGCTCAGTGATGTCAAGATCTTTTCAAGAAAGGCCATGCAAATGGGGTTATGAAATGAAAATAATATGACACAAGACCGTATGGCAAAGATCCGTGCGAAATGAACCTGGCTTTGGCGACATCGTATTTCACTAGGATCAAATGGGTAAATGGTCGTGTAATAAATTATCGAGCAGGATACGCGTGCGAAGGATGCAGGCTGTAACGAAAAAATGCACGGGAATAAGATTTCATGCCAAAAGACTGGGATAAGGACCGTACGGGATAAAGCTCATAAAGGCAAAACCTCTCACGCGACACGGATCATGTGGTAAAAGGCCGTGTAGTCCGCTTCGTTTATCGGGTGCAGCTTGGAAGGAAGCCACAACGAGCAGCGAGCGCCGGGCAAGGAATTTTGGCCCTTCCACCGAACCGGACCGAGCAACGGCGTCTCCACGCCATCGCTAGACGGACATAACTAAATGTCTGTGTGGCCAGATGTCCAAGGCGACTGGAAATGCTGCAGGAGCTAGTCATTGAAATTTGCGTTCGACACCGCCCTTGAGACATCCTCCCAGCAGGAGAACCTTTCCAGGCATTGTAGGGAAGCACAAATCGTAGAGGTCCAGTCGCCTCGACATAAAAGGCGCCGGCCACCCTTGTCGCCGGATAATGCCGCAAAGTCGACCATCAATGGCTCGTAAATCGAGGTCAGCGGCACCTTTCACGACGCCAGTTGCAAAGATCCCTTACGGACTTCGGTCACCGGGTGTGAAGTTGAAAAATAGGGAGATGCATCAATTCTCCACAACTAGATATGTAACAGCACCTATCGCTATTGCTATCCTTTCTGGAAACTTGCGGCCACATTCAGAGACGCGGCCAGGACATTTTAAGTGTGTGTGGGGGGGGGGGGGGGGGGGCAGCGTAGCGTAATAAAAATGCATCGTCTTTTTTAAAAATAATTCCGTCAGGGGCCATCTGTGGTGACAACTGAAAAAAAAACATGAGGGTCTAACGAGGAGGCCGTTGACTACACCTGTGGCTACGTTGGTTCCATGGAATGTACACACAGGTGCGCCTCTTATGTTTATTAAATTACGTATCTAGCCTATGCTTCTATGCTATTTTCCATCATACATTTAAGGAGTTATTGCTGATTATCTTAGACCAATGGTCTTTCCCACTACCCTTTGTGTGCGGCCCTTTGCAACGATGCAATCGTCTTGCCATTTTCTCGAAAAGCGGTGTCCGATACCATGTTTTCTCAGATATTTCCAATGAATTTTAAAATGATATTTACCCATCATGCTCTTTTACCTGAGCATCGCCACATGTGATCTTTTGCTCATGATATATTTTACACGATCCTTTCCATACGGTCCTTTGCCTGATGGCATTTAGTTCCACACAATATTTTTCTCACGATGTCTTGACCACGACCCTTTTCCACACAATCCTTTGCTGTGTGACCTTTACTCTGCAATCTGATATAATTGCATTCGCTGCGCCACAGCCCGTTGAGTACGTTTCATCACGACTGTGCATACCAGGTAGGCCGACAGCGATGAATAGACCCTTCAGATGTTTGGAATTCCAGTTACACAGGTATTCATGGAGCGCGACTTTTCTGTGTCCCCATATTTGCTAAAGTTGATGGCAGTTTCAATCGTCACACTGGTGCTGGCCTTGCCAGAAGTTCGGCGGACATAAATTTCGTCGTTTTGGTTCGTTTTGTTGGGGTAGCTTTTAGCGGAATATTTCGCCAAGGATGTTTCGCAGCAGACAGACCTGTAGACAGCTGATCTTTTTTGGTCACTTAGACGTTTGGGATTTGGTGGTACTTGCCCATGCGTTGCGTTCTGGCCGTGCGCAAATGAACGAGGTATTACGCATGCACGCGTGTGGTCGCTCGTCTGTTATAGCATGGGACAAGGAAGCCAAAGCCTCACCATGGGCTGCATGCAACGTCATGAGCATTTTCTAGGCGATTGCAAGTGTTTCTGGTCACGTGGCGTCTATGAGACATAGGTAGACGATGAACAATCCGTTCGATGTTCCAAGACAAAAATGTTTTTGGTGAATTTGCAAGAGAAACGTGAAGTTCTTGAGCTGATATTTTTTTGCTTCCATAATATTCAGTCATAGAGGCATTAGGCACTGTCCGAAACTAGCTACCTGCATAATGGTATGCATAATGCAGACTACCTGTGCAGAGAGTGCAGTGGTGTTCGAGATTTCTGGCTTCTAACACGCGAGGAAATCAAATTCCTCTCCGCTCCCGGGGGATGCCCTGCTACATTAACGCGAGATTTGACCTTTCTCATCTTTCGGGTTGGTTGGTTATGGGCCAGCATCAAAGTTCTTCGTTTGGCTTTCACTTGTGCCATAGGTGTGCTCCCACACATATGTTTTTCTTGGTGATGAGTCCGCTGGATTACTGCGCCAGATACTTTAGAATGTTTTGGTGACACGGAGTTGGCCTGGGTCCGATATGATTCTGACGCCAACTGAATAAAGCCACATCCTAGGCTGGTTACCATCCACTGATGACTCATTCCAGAGCATCGAACACGTACGGTCACGATGTCGGCTGTGAAATGGAACAGAGCCGCATCATCTCCACGCGTCTGCGAGACCTGCGTCCCCGTTTGGCATCAGTGATGTGTCTGCGACAGCGGCTTCGTTCCGGAGCAGGGGCCGGTCATCGGCGGGCGGCGATCGATAACAGCTGACCGTAGAAATCTAATCAGTGTTTGTTGGGCCGTCGGCCTGGGGTCGCTGCTGTCTGGCCGTCGCCGAGTGCGGCCAGATCTGAGGCACCCGACAGCCGTCAGCTCTGACGTAGCCGTCGGTGGGCACGGTGCCGGGAATCGTGGGTCGGCCGACGCGCGGGGCACACCCTGTCTGCCCGAACATATGGGCCGGCTGGGCGGGCGCGGAGCGGGGGCGGTCAGCAGGTGTCGGCTCCCCGCTGGCCACTGACGCGTGCCACCTGCTCCCCTTTGGCGGTCGGCGGCGGTGATGAGTGGTCGGCGTCGTCCCGTGTCCGGTGCTCTGATTCCGAGGTCGCATAAGATGGGCGCTGGCGACCGGGCGCCGAACAGAAGGTCGCGCTCGACGCCATCGGTCACCGCGCCCGTCAGAACCCCGCTAATCAACAACAGCAACTCAGCGACGGGAGAGCGAAGTTTGAACAGGAGCTGAACACGCCGGCATGACAGTGTCCGTCATGTTGGCGGCGCGGGGCCGGCTCGATATCAGCGGCTGCCGCGGTCCGGCCTTGGGGACGGGGCGAGCGCAAGCAGGTCACGCTCGCGGCAAGATATGAACGCACCTCCGGCGGCGCCGGCGGCGGCCGCACGCGACAGCTCAATCTGCCCCGCCCCGTCAGTCGGCGGCCTCACGAAAGGCCTCAGCCCTCCCTCGTCTCCGCTCTCCAGCGGGTCGTCGCTCGCGGCGCGCGCCGGTCGACGTCAGCCGAGGACGGAACTGGAGACGCTGCCTAGCGGCAAACCGCACCACGGCTGTCGCGGCAGAACAAACGGTCCGGAGGCCGTGACCAATCATGATTGAGCGGCCGACGATCGGGTCCCACGGGTTTGGCGGTGGGAGACGACAGAGCCGGCGCCGGCGATGGATGGCCTGTCGGCTCAGGCGGAGGTGGTCCGGCCAGGAGCGGGGTCAGGTCCTATTCTGGGAGGGGCGTCGCTTGCCGTCCCTCAGGGGCGACAGTTTCGCAAAATCGGCTGACGGGGACAGGTCGAGTGGAATAAAATCAGATCTACCTCCAAATCTGAACCCGACGTCAAAGTGGAGGTTGTGAACGGATTGAACCTTGGGGCGTGAGGTGGAGTGACTGGGCTCACAGCTGTGCGGGATTTTGCGGCGCCCACCTGTGTGCTTAGCTACGTCTCTAATATCAATCCATCTGGTCTGACGTACTGAAAGCAATCACTTTAATCGAGAAAGAGCGTGGCTTTGGGGTTTCGGTGTTGTTGGGCCCTGTGCTGAAAATAAATGACCCTCAGCATGGCAGGGGAGATCGGTTAAGCAAAGTTGTCGAGAAATGGCTGGGATATACACGTATTATTAGAATATTTAACGCTTAAAGTCGTTGTTCATCATGCCCGGTGGTCTGACTCATGGGCATGGTCTCGACTTGTGATT